AATTGGATATTTGAATTATAGCTGTTTACGTAACTAGCCACTTTTAGTATATGCTCTTTCGTTGCTTTGATATGAGGAGACATAGAGGTTGTACAGTCCAGAACGAAGCAAAGATCAAGATTCATTGAATCTTCAATATTAATGATGGCCTTTGACGCATCATTTCTCTGTTTTCTCTTAAATATGAAACTCTATCTATTAATTTTGATGTACTACTAATTAGACCTGCTTCATCTTTGTAACGTTTAAGGCGTTCTTCTAAGAGTTTCATATTGTTTGCGCTAAAATCGTTTCCGATTTTTTGATTCATTCTTATAATCGATATTTCATAATAATTTAGTATAATTGTGTAAATTAGAAATGTTTCGTTCTTAGCATCATTGTAGTGGGCGTACAGCGGGTAAATAAATATAATATTATTTGTCTTACGTACAGGATTTGCTTATTTGTGTAATTTAATATTAACCCAAAACTAGTACATGATCATGTGGCGGCTTCGCCGCCAACTAATAATTAGATATAACAGTATATGGTGTTAGCAGACACTGATAATTTGATAATACATGATTAATTGTGAAATCAAAAAATATATATTCAGGTGGTATTCTATTTGTTCTTTTTCATAGTTCTTGGCTTTGCTTGAGCTTTAAGTTTTTTATGTTTTGCCTCATTTCGCTCGGCAAGTTTTAAACTCTACATTTTTTTACCATATTTCAACAATCATTAATGTTTTACCTCGCTTCGCTCGCACTAGTCAAAAAAGAGATGTTTAGTCTAGATAAAATATCAAACAAATTTACTGAAAATGTTTAAAAAACATAATTCAAATGTTAGTTATATGTAGATGAAATAATGTATTATTTTGACTATGTTTATTTGCTATTAAATATCATTTAAATATTTAAAAAATAGGCAATAAATATAATTATAAACGTAAATAGATTTTATTAAACAAGATTCAAATATCATATAAATATAAAATAAATATTAATTAAAATAAGATTCGAATATCGTATAAATATTTTTAAAATAATATCCAAATATCGTTAAATTAAGTTTCAAACACTGTATAAATAAAATTTAAATATTGTATAAATACAAATTTCTATTATTGTTTGTTCAATATTTATAATAAATATATATAGTTTTTATATCATATTTTAATTTTATTTATGTTATATTTATTCAATATTTGTATGCACAATATATATTATTTATTTTTCATATTACCGTTATTTAGTAAATTATGATTATTGTAACCGTATCTATTAAGGGTAGATAGGTCGGGTCGAATTTTATGTGAAACTTAAGCAAATTGGGGCTATTTCTCTTTATTATGAAGAATGTAAGCGAAGCCTAACTAGCTTCCTCTTTCTCTTTACATATTTATATCGC